CACTGTGTACAATCAGCAAACAAGCTTTTCATCTTACTAAATGTGATTATATCACTACTAAACAAAATAGGGCTAAGCAGAGGCTCAAACATGCTGATGAATTGCACTGAATGTTTCCAGGTACAGCTTGAGTCAGGGAACAGGAGATACAAGCATAGAAAAAACAACCATTGTGTTTTGGGAAAGGAGGAAGGAAAGGTAAGGAGAATTCAGTGACATAAATATAAACTCTTCTATGCTGTTTGTCTTCAGGGCCAGAAGTTAATTGTTTAGCTTCAACTGCAGACAAGGCTAGGCTTTTGCCTATATAGAATTAGCGAAGATTCAGATCAACTGGTTTGCTCCCTGAGCTGTGGGGATGGTAATCACTGTATCATGTGTCACGGGGAACGTAAACTTTAGATGATGGGTCAGGATAGTCATCAGGGAACTAGATGAGAATACCTTTAGCTATTCTAGCCAGACCTTAATGAGTATATCTTTCCACGAGTATAAATTATTACCTCTAACTAAAAGGTTCACAAGAACATTCTACTATAAAATAATGAAATAAATGCATATGTATATATGTATATATGTATGTGCATATGCATGTCTATGTGTACATATATCCATGCACCAATACATGCTGGGGGCCACCCAGCTGGAAAGCAGCATGGCAAAATGGGAGCCAGCAGTGTGCCCTTGTTCCAAAGAAGGCTAGTAGTGTTCTGGGCTGCATTAGACAAAGTACCGTCAGTAGGTCAAGGGAAGTAATCCTTTCCCTGTACTCAGCACTGGTGAGGCCAAACCTGGGGTGCTGTGTCCAGTTCTAGCTTCCTCAGTACAAGAGAGACATGGCCATACTGCAGAGAATTCAAGGAAGGATCACGACGCTGATGAAGGGACTGGAGCATCTCTCCTATGAGGAAAGGCTGAGAGAGCTGTCGAACCATCACAAACCATCAGCAGTGATTTTGCTTTTTTACATGTACTAATTCTGTCTGACTTTTAAAAATATTAAAATGGTTTTACTCAAATTTCATTTAAAAATACAGCTAAAAATTGAGGGCAACCATGGTACCTTTTAGCTACAAAAAGTAACTTCTTAAGAGTTTTTGAACAACAGACAAAATGTCAGCTTAATGATATTTTTTGTTTAACGTGTTTGTTAACTTACTCTCAGTGAAGAATGCTATTGAAAAACACAGAAAAATATTGATTACAATCTTGTAAATGCACAATTCAAGTACATAATCTAAAATACTTCTGCAATAAAAAGTTTTAAGGATCCCACCAAATTTTTACTCTCCCTGAATCCTTTGAGAGTGAATATGAACAGAAATTAATATACATTTTCTGTACAGAGCAACACAAAATATTTGGAATGCCTAGTGACACGAAGCAACTAAATTTTACCTATCAAAACATGAAATAATTTCCTACATTGGTCAAGCCACCAATCTTGAAGGAAGACTTGAATGAAGAAATACAAACAGGTTTAGCTGAGCAGATGGTTTCAGGCAAATTGAAGGAGTAAAATTAAAGTTCTATGGCAACATTGCAGGTTCTATTATTTCAGTTTCACAGTTTTAGTATGTTAACACTGATTGGCTTCTCCAAAATTCTTCTATTGAATTTTGAATTACATTGTTTGATATCCTATTACTCAAATCGGACTACATTGCCAACATAATTACCGCACCTTGAAAGTGAAATGAGTTATCATAAAATCTCAGGCTACAAATTTAAGCCTTCATTTTAAGAGGATCTCAGTACAATCTTTCCAATCTGTTAATAACTGCAGTCTATGATTTAATCTTTTTTAGTGAATTTAAAAATAAGGAACCAAACCCTTTTTTTCCTCAAAGGTCCAATGATTAGCTTTTAATTTTGACCTGGCTTCTGTCCAGAGAGCTCTTCAGTTAATTTTCAGTGCAATGAAAATGAAAGTGGTTTTTTTTCTGATTTATACTTGAGTATAAACCATAGCATGAAAAATTTCACCTTTTGATAATAAAAAATAAATTTTCACCTCCAGCTCTCAATAATTTTCTGCCGAAACTTTGTTATATCTTAATTTTTATTTGGAAACAATTTTTAAGTACATTATTGGCATTTTATCAAATATTTATATGATGTAGTACTCAATTATAGACAAGCACCAGTACATAAGGCTTAATTTTCAGGTTAAACTGAATAAAAACCACAGAGAATTCCCAGAAATATATCAGTCTAAACCCATTTTTGAAACACTTTACCGTTTTGAAACTGTTATTATTTTTATTCATATACTCTACCCAAGTGTTCTCTCTAAAATTTGGGCTTGAATCTGAAGAAAGAAGTTTTATGAGAAATTTTTCTAGAAGATACACAATGAAATTAAGTTTGAGGTTAACACAACTGTTTTAGGAGTTTATAGCTGGGTGTCAATGATGTTAGATACCACTGATACATGTTTACATTTGTGATGCTCATCTATCATCGGCAGAGGAAATCTAGAATTTAATTCATTTGCTAAACATGGGATATAGTGATACTTCAGATAACTGAAGGCATCCAGGATATTCTCATGAGTATGATGTATAACAAAGTGGACACAATTAAGTTGCATAATGAGGGACTTCAGTGCTCTTGGGGCATTAACCATTATGGGTTAGGGCTGCAGAGACACCAGAGGAAACCCAGAACCAGGCACTGTGGAGTGTGGATGTAGCTACTCAACTATACAGGAAATTGCCTTTAACACTATGGATAAAGAGCTACAACACACAGCTTGGCAATGTGGAGATCTGGTGTCTGATGGCTCTCTCTGTTTTTATTTTGCAGTTTCATATACCAAATATGAAGGAACCTCAGGATGTCATTTGAGGATTCCAGTATTTTCACTTGATTTTAAGCAGATCTGATCTTGCTTTTTTTTCTTGATTTTGTACAAGAAAATCATTCTGTAAGGTTAATACCCAGAATAACAACTAGGATTCACAACCAAAAGTATTTGCCATTACATATTATTTTTGCCTTTTTTTCTTTTATGGTCTGAAGGAAATAAATTTTACAAACGCATACAGAGAAGAAATAGCTCAATGTATCAGTGACTCCTTTGTTCATTCATTGGACCCTCAGCTCAGGGTTTTACCTCTAAGTAACAGTAAGTATGCTTAAATGAACACAAAGAGATTTAGATATGTGAGAACATTGTCTCTGTCTTCCTATGTAGAAATACCTCCTGTAATCATTGATATGATCTGAAATTATTGCTATTACAATTATGGAATGATCTAAAAGTCACCATCAAAAACCAAGACTAACATGGCAGCTGGTTCTGACCTTACTCATCACTGCCTAATTCTGTGTTGTGAAATTCCCCATAAGCAGTCCTTTTTCGTGCCCAATGTGGGGTGTCAAAAATGGCTGTGATGGGTTGACCCTGGACAGCAGCCAAACACTCTCTCACTCACTCCCCTCTTCTGTGGGATGGAGAGAAAATAAAAGGAAAGTGAGAAGACTCCGGGATCAAGATAAAGGGAGTTTAATAGGGAAAACAAAACTTGTGCATACAAGCAAAGCAACAGGAGGAATTAATTCACTACTTCCCATTGTCAGGCAGATGTCCAGCCACACCCTGGTAAACAGTGCCTCAGTACATGTAACAGTTGCTTGGGAAGACAAATGGCATTAACCACAATCATCACCCCACTTTCTCCTCCTTTTCATGAGATTTTTATTGCTGAGCACCATGTCATACACTATGGAATATCCCTTTGGTCACTTGGGGTCAGCAGTCTTGTCTGTGTCTCCTCTCGACCTCTTGCCACGGCTGACCTACTAGCTTTTGGAGGGTTAGTGGGGTAGGGAAGAGAGAAAGCCTTGATGTTTTGTAATCACTGCTCAACAATAGCCAAACCGTTGGTGTGTTACCAACACTGAACCACAAGTGCTCAGCACCATTACAGGCTGCCATGAAGAAAGTTAACTCCAACCCAGCCAGACCCAGTACATAGCTAAAGGAGAATGATTATCTGGAGGTACTAGACAGAAGAAAAATTACTATTCCTTTCTGGAAAAAAAAAAAAGGAAACTGAAGCTTGAATCACAAAATCATAGAAGCATTCATAGGAAGGGAGCTCCAAAGGACCTCCACTGGACAACTAGTTCAACCTCTCGCTCAGATCAGGGATAGTGCCAACACTGAATTTGGTGATCATCTTGTCTAGCTAATTCAAGAAAATTTTCAATGAAGATTCCTTAGCCTCAGAAAAAACTTGCTGCAGTAGTGCTTTCCAAGTGACTTCCCCCACCGCCAATGTCAAGCCTGAACTGTCCATGCTACAATTTGTGTTGTTTGCCCCTTCTTACATATTGTGGTGTTCCCAAGAAGAATTTGGTTCCATGATCTTCCCTTCAGGAGATCTTAAATTGCAATTCTGTCACTGCTTAGCATCCTCGTCAGCAGACTAAACAAACCGACTCCCTCAGCCTCTCCTCTCCCAACTGACATACCATTTTGGTAGCCCATGACTGGACATTCTCCAGTTTCTTCCTATGCCTTTTGAACTGTAGAGGGCAAAACTGGAAACACTATTCCAGGTACAGCCTTAGCAGCACCACATATTATGGGAATAACAACTTTATATGGCCTGCTGACAGAATTTTTCCTGATGTAGACCAATAAGTAGTTTTCCTCATTCATGCTGTTGGCTCATACTCAGTCTGGTACCTGTCATAATAACCAGCATAATTTTTTGAGAATATTTACTATTCTGGCTGTCCTTCTTAGCATGTTAAGATATCTGAGGTTACTCCCCAGTTTCACAACTCTGCACTTCTTGGGTATCTGTTGGCCGAATCCTCAAGTTTATTGGGGTCACTCTGGATGAAGGGCTGCCATTCATTTTTTTCTAAAATGGAACAGTTTTACTTTTGAACACATGAAGTATTCAGCAGTTGCAGATTATAATCACAATAACAGTGTTGTTGTTATTATTATTATTGAAATAAAATAATAACTTAAAAAATACCTGAGGTGGAAGCAGTGGTAATCTGATATAAGCAAGTAGCATACTCAGGTCATTGCATCGCCTCTGCATATCATACTTCACCCACATCATTAAGGCATGGAAAATGGTCTCTTCATCAGGAACATTCACATCATCACTAGCAAGAAGTTTATGGAGTTCTTCAGCTGGTAGAAGTAAAAATTCTTGATTTCTTATAACTTCCATTATATTCTCCTGAGAAGAAGAAAGTATTTCAGATTCAGTAATGCTGGAAAAAAACAAAAGCAGCTGTTAAAGCTAATAAACCTACAGGATTAGTCAGTATCTGCCATACCCAGCCCTCTTACGGCTCAAGAGAAAAACAAACCAAAGATGACTAGAATTAAATAGCTATAGTTATAATTCATACATGAATATATTCATAAAACAATATGACGATTATATGGTAATATTTTAATTAAAATTGTCAGAATTAGTAAAGGCTAGGGCAGATGTGCATATTGCTTGAAATTTTTTTAAACTCAGTTGTAAAGGAGTACATTCAATATATTGTAAATCTTTACATGTACATACTTTTTACTGTATTTTTTCACTATCATCTGATCTGTTTCTTAAATAACTTGTCAGTCATATAGTTATATTATCAATATCCAGATGACGTCTGTCTATATATATATGACAAGGCTGAGAGGAAGATCAACACAATGAACTTAGCATTACTTCTTGAACTTGTTAAGAATAGAGTGTTAACATCCAGCTAACATGCAAAATGTATACAGCAATTAAAACCTCACAGTATTACAATTTTTAATACATGTGGGGACAATTATAAAAAACTAAATAGAAAGTATAAAAACTTATAAACTATATAAAACTAAACAAAAATGTTTAATTTAGATGACAGAATCCTAAGGAATGAATTAAGTGCTCTCTGAACTACCTACCCTACATTAACAGGACACAACAGAAGCACAGTTCTGCAGAGTATCTTTCTGCAAATATTATTTTTTTAGGCTACTTGATCTCTCTGGAGAAATTGCAAATGTGTATTCATATTCTTAATTCATAGACAAGTGTAAGAAGAAAGTGAAGTAGGTATACACTGGAGGCACAATAGCCTCCTCCTGGAAAAAAAGTCTAATTTTTGACATAAAATGTAAAATTTATTTGAGGGAGAAGTTACAATATCTGATAGATAAAATATAATAAAGAATTTCATAGTGATATTTTGGATAGGGATATGGTGTAAGAGAACGGTCGATGTAAGGTTAATGGTTGGACTCGATATTTAAGGTCTTTTCCAACCTAGATGATTTCGTGATTCTGTGATAAGACTTCATGAGACTGAGAAGTAAGAAAGGAATGATGAAACAGTCAAGGACTTAAGTGTAAGAACATCAAAACTGAGGGAAGAGGATAATTCCACTGCTACACCCACTCAATTCAGTTCTTAGCATATCAAAATTCAAATCAATGCTGTTTATAATTGCTTGCTTGGGTCTGGGCAAGGGGAAAGACTTCCTGGTCATCAGGAATTTAAACAGAAGTAACACAATATTTACTGAGATAATATACCTAATACAGAAAAAAGAAATGGTGGAACACTTAAAACATCAGAATTATACTCTAGCTCTAGGAAGTCACATATTGTCTTCATCTTGCCCCATGCAATACAAAGAAATTATTTTAATTCTCCAACATCATATTTTTTAAAAAGTTACTGCTTAGAAGAATCTATTAAAAATAACTGCATATTATTTTAAATAATGTAGCAGAGATGAATAATAGACATGAAAAAAATTATGACAGCAGTTCATTGAAATATGTAATCCAATTCACGTCAAATACATATGTGCAAATACAATAAATCAGCTAAAGCTTAAAGTGATGCTTATTCTTATGAATGTGAATTCTTTTCCATGTAAAACTTAACTTTCAATGAGCAACTTTTTAAAACTCCACGTACACATCCAAAACAGCATGCTGACACAACAGAAAATCAAAGGTATATGGACATGGTCTGTAGTAACCATGCTGTTATCTTTACATAACTGATAAATAGATCAAAACATGACTCAGTTCTTTTTTCTAAATTGCTTGATTAAGTGTCAATAGGTACCTAAAACCCTAGATTTTTATGGCCCAAGGTTTTAATCTGTTGACTCTGAATAAAGTTTAAATTGTGTGACTAGAACTTTATACCATAGCTTGGAAATATAAGGGAACTAGTTTGCAGGCACTTAACCACAAGTTGGCTTAATTAATTTTAAAACAAAAAAAAAAAAAAAAAAAATTAATCTCACTTCTCAATAAAATTATTTATAGGCCAAAGTTTAATTAAGACTGATTCAACTGACATTAAATCCCATTATGAAAAAAATATAACTCTAGTTTGTAATAGGAACCAACATCAAACTTTGCAATAGCATATTAATCCAAAGACCTAATATTATTGAGAAGCATTGAGATGGTGGAATACATTCTGTGAACTCACAGAACTTAATTAATTTTGAATAACACTCAGAGCAGGGGCTCTAAATTCAGAATAATAATTTTAGGTTTGATTAAGATTTTTTATAACTTTTAATTGTCTTTTCATTTGGATATATGCTTATGGAGAACTTATTCCAGCTTCTCTACTGATTTACCATTGACTGAAAGAAGAATTGAACAAAGTTTTCAGATAAAACATAAGAGCTCAAATCTGTTCTTCTAAACATCTGGACTTAATTACCCTAGTTTCACAATTACTTAGGGCAGAGTATATTAGAAAATGCTATTTAATAAAAATTCTTTATGTAACTTCTGTATATATATACATTTATATAGTGTATTTATGTATATTTTATACATAAAAACCAGCAATAAAACCCAAGTTCTTGATCTTCAGAGCTAAAAACTCTCTCATTTTTAAAAACTCCTATTCAGCATTTCCTAAATTGACTACTGAATGTTTAGAACTTCCTACATCACATTTTAATTTCTTGAGATTCATTTCATTTGGAGCAGCAAAGCATATTTCAATGACTTGCTGTTTTATTGTAACAGAAATAATTTATTATCTGTTTATCATGGAAAATTATCTGCCCTTCTTTTAAAAAAATAATTGATCTTCATTTTTGCACTTTAGGGAACAGGATACAAAAGATGTCTGCAAACCTCTGATTAAAATTTTCTGGGTAAATGAAATAAATTTGTAATTCTCCTGAAATTAAGGTGAAATTTAGGAATTAAGCTACTCAGTCCTGCTCTAGTGAAGTGCTTTCAGGAATGCTTAAGTCTTCATGGGCTGAGAAACCTTAATTTTGCGAATAAGGGTACTCAGTATTTAAGCACGTCCAGGGTTATGTGACAGGTCTATGAGTTTTCAGGGCCTGTAACTTCTGACTCTGCTACTTAAGAAGCTTTATAGATCCGGTCTTCACTGTTTCATAAATCTTGTAAGATCAGCTGGGATGTGACTAATGCCTCTCCTGCATGGGTCTTTCACTTGGCCTTTCCCTTCAGCAAGAACTGTAACATTTTAAGTAGATTAGTGTAGTTTTGCTTTTAAATTTTTAAAAAAGTTAACTTACAGTAGAAAGTATGAAAGCCTTTGAAGCCACTTGGAGAAAGCTATGTCTTACTTGACTGCCCTTCCACTTTCTCAAAATGATCATGCAATAAACATTGCTGTGGGGTCACAGCACTTCCATGGCGGAGCTGTTTCACTTAAATCTTTTCAGCAGCACACAGGGTTAGAATCAAGTGACCATTAAGTATTAGCACGCTAGAGTCATGTAAACAAAATATATACCTATTTAAAAGTAGATAAGCAAGCACCTGAGTATCTAACAGATTCTGCATCATAGGAACAGAAATGCTCTAATGAAATGAATCTATTTCCAAACAGAATGTAATAAAAATGAATTCTGCTCTATATATTCTTAGAATGATGTTATCAATACAAATTATTATTTTTTTTTTTAATGAAGACTTGTAATGATCATTATTCCATATGGAATCAAATTATATTGCAAAAGTTAGTTTTCATTGATGTTTATGTCATTGATTCACTAATCAGCATATATTGGTTTTATGGAAGAACCTGAGAATATTTTATTTGGTATTATAAAAATTAGGAAATATTCTCATACTTTGACAAAGAACTTCACATTCTGAGAATGATATTATAGAACCTGTTACACCAGAGTTGCTGTGGCAGTAAAATGCTTAGCAGGTTCTTTTGTTTTGGATGTAGGGGTCTTATTTAAGAAGTTTTACATTTTATTGATTTTGATGCTGTGGCCTTTCCAATACAAAAATGAGAAAGGCATAAAATAACACTAGAAAAAAGGTATCTGTACACTACCACTTAAATAGTAAATGACTAGTGTCAATGAATATTTTAAGCCCATGCTGATTTTAGATTAGAACCCAAGTTTTCATGAGAACATGTAAATAAATTAATAAACAGTGTGCCTCGTTTCCATATTAAATCATACGGTGTAGTTTTGGAAGTGCTAAAGACCTGAATGTCAGTTTTGATTTTGGTCAAGTCTGGAACTATTTCAGTCTGGAATTACCGCCTCTGTGCTACATTGAATTCAGCCCTCTTGTTTTGTACACCCAGTTTTCCCTATCAGCTGTGTATCATAGAAGACTAAATCTCTTTTGCAAAAAAATGTCCTATCATGTATCTTCTTTCCTAAGGAGAATGGACTTTACAAGTTCCTGAACTCCCATTAGAGAAAAGACCAGGACTTGTTAATATGCTTATGGTCTGCTTCTCTAGACAAATAGCAGATTTTATCTGAGAGGAGCTCCATTTTCCCTGTGTAATCCAAAGAGTTACATGTTTCTTCCACTACCAGATGCCAGCCTGATGTCACCATTATGAAAGGGATATAGAGGCTGAGGAGTTCAAAGGGCAGGCAGCGACTGGGAAGAGATCATGTCGGTGGATGCTCCTCTGAACTGTGTCAGTGGAAAGAGAGATCAGCAGCTGCTGCTTTTTGGGGAGCGGACAGCAAAGTGAGGATAGAAGAGATTGTAACTACGGATACTAGCTCTCACAGCATACTGAAATTTTAATAGCGACTTCTAGATGATAGACTACCACAATCTAAGTATTTTCCTTTTTCACTTGCAACTTTTAAAATATTTATTTTTCAAATTTTCAGGTTTTAGGATATGGCTCTGCAGAATTAGCCATATTATTGTCTAATTCATTGTCAGTATAATGCAGCATTATG